GTAAAGGAATCCCTTAACTAAAGAGGGCGAGAAAAAATGCGTAAACGTTCAGATGAAAAGTACTGTTTAAAAATAATAGAAGAAATTTACCCCTTGCGGATTTTTCCTCTCTATCTGCACGATGAGCCGCAAGCAGTAAAATTTCTGTCCCGTAATTTAATCAGTTAAATCATCAAAGTTGACAGGTCTTTCTGATGATCAAAGCGACCGTTCGGTTTACCATTTACACCTTCAGTGCGAAGACTGTCACGGGAACATTAACACCTTCAGGATAATTGCTTGCCATAACAGTGGTAGGTCGCGCGCGTCTGGTCGGTTTCGAAGAACGTGATCGTGACTGTTGTTTTCATTCAGTGACTGTGCGCGTTGATATGCCAACGTTTAAAACAGACTGCAACATTAAATTTTTGTTATAAAAGCAAAGAAGCTGCCGAGTAGAAACTAAACCGTTCCAGACTTATTCCGTTTCATTCGTGTACTTTCATTTTGATGGGGTCTGTATGATGAATTTACTTCTGCCTTCTAATCCGGCACGTAAACAACATAGAGATAAGACATTCATTTTGCCTTTGTGGAGTAAATTCATCTTAAAAAAGTTAAACTAGTGGACCACTTTCTCCGCGTATTTGTAAAAATAGGCATTTAATATGTCGCGCTACAGTGCGAAAATCTTCTTGTCGCGGATTACATTTCAGTATACCTATTGTTAATCTTCATTTCGCGCCAGAATAAATTAGTTTGCGCGCAAAGGGCGTCTAAAAAAATCACAAGGTTTGTCCCACTTCGAGTCCACCTTCTGGAGATACGCCGGCATGGTAGCTGGAATACATTGCCAAGGCGAAGATCTGGCATTTTTTCCTCCTCGTCTTTTTTCCCCCGCAACGTTTGTTTATATTTGTAGTGAGAATGCCGTGCATATCGGTGGATTTTACTTCAGTCAAGCGGCTTCAGTTCCTGCGGCTTGCTACTCATCATAAAGAAGAGTGCCGGAATCGCTTTGTTCGCCTTTAACAGATTTGTTGTCCAATGCAAGGTAAAAGAACGGACTACTGTAAGGTAAGAATTGAAGTTTAAATTTGTTTCTCGGCGAAAAATAGTGCATACAACTCGTGAAACCCGTGAGTATTACCTCTGTTTAATATACCGGATATCATGCGATGACCCCTCGCTTTTACGATGGATAAGACGGATACGAACAATAATGTCTTTCGCAACGTTTAGTATAATTTATTTAATATGGAGATCATCTGAGAACGATTTTTCGTTATATATGCTTCATTTCTTGGCTTATTCCGGCTACGTGCGAAAAATTAGATGACAATGTTTGTGTGCTATAATTATACTGATAATTTCCTTCACCTTGAAACTCATCAAAGCCAAACTTGTTTGACCCTAGCAAAAAACTCTTTTAATGGAGGAACTCAACCTGATAGTTGCACTAAAATCTGATAATTGTCACTGCATTTGCAGGCTCTCTGTAACCTCGTGGGTAGAACATACCTGAAGGTTACGTTAATAATAATCACTGCATTTGCTCTCTGTAACCTCGTGGGTAGAACATACCTGAAGGTTACGATAATAATAATCTTTGCATTTTCTCTTTGTAACCTCGTGGGTAGAATATACCTGACGGTTACATTTAATAATAATCACTACATTTGCTCTCTGTAACGTCGTGGGTAGAACATACCTGAAGGTTACGTAAATAATAATCATTGCACTTTCTCTTCGTAACCTCGTGGGTAGAACATACCTGATGGTTACATTAATAATATCACTGCCTTTGCTCTCCGTAACCTCGTGGGTAGAATATACCTGACGGTTACATTTAATAAGAATCACTGCATTTTCTCTCTGTAACCTCGTGGGTAGAACATACCTGAAGGTTACGTTAATAATAATCATTGCATTTTCTCTTTGTAACCTCGTGGGTAGAATATACCCAATGGCTACATTAATAATAATCACTGCATTTGCCGTCCGTAAACTCGTGGGTAGAATATACCTGATGGTTACATTAATAATATCACTGCCTTTGCTCTCCGTAACCTCGTGGATAGAATATACCTGACGGTTACATTTAATAAGAATCACTGCATTTTCTCTCTGTAACCTCGTGGGTAGAACATACCCGAAGGTTACGTTAATAATAATCATTGCATTTTCTCTTTGTAACCTCGTGGGTAGAATATACCCAATGGCTACATTAATAATAATCACTGCATTTGCCGTCCGTAAACTCGTGGGTAGAATATACCTGATGGTTACATTAATAATAATCATTGCATTTTCTCTTTGTAGCCTCGTGGGAAAAAAAATTAATGCCTCTCTCCCGGAAATTTTGCCCTGTCCTTTCAGCATAGTGATCTTTGGGTAGCGAATTCACGTAAACAAGTAAAACGCTTTTTTTAACAACAGCATTTATATTACTTGGCTTTTTGAGGGAGGTTAAACATTAATGGAATAGAATATAAAAAAAAGCTCATAAAGCGGAAAAAGTTATCTTTACAAAATGCGCTTTGACAATGTCAAGGAGTGAAATAAGCTGAGGTTTTGTAGTTAGCCCGAAGAAAACCTGTTCCTGCATGAAAAGCAGTTCTGCCTCCCTTCTCTTAACTAGAAGAGATGCATATCCCTGTGAACCAGTGTTTTAACCAGGAGCGATTCCCGCTCACTTCTGATACTTTATTGACACGAGTTCCTGTTTCAATATATGTCTAATTCAAGCTTAGCCGCGTGATAGCTCTTCATTAGCGAAAAGGTCCAAGTGATATTTTGATTGACGTGTTGTTTTGGATCCTGAAGTTTTTTAACACCTTTTCTCTAGCTTAACTGGCGAAGATATTCTAGGAATTTGCCCTTCAATTCCAAATTCTTTGATGTGCCGCCAGATGCCGTGCAAAAATATCACCCCTTGCGGCTCCTCGTGCAAAATCGTGGAAGAGGATTTAGTAATTATTTATAAAACATATAATTGTGATGGTGATGTTTATTACACCAAACCACAGGCTCGCGTTATCGGACCCCATAGCTAAGAAAATATGATTATCTATACATTAGAGAAATATTAGTTATAACGTGATAGTACGTACGTCGACCCGTCCGTCTGTCCGCACCACAGAGAAACCAATGTGAAATGTCACACCTTCTGTAAGCCTGTAACCTTATATTGCACATCCATGTTGTAATCAATTGTCAGCTCTCAAAACAGGGTATCCGCTAACCAGTATTACATGACAGTATCGCGGGCTCAGGTGTCGAACCACCGAGTTTCCATGTTTTTTTAAGTCAACTGATCGCAGGCTCAACTTTAAGTGGTTTTCTTTGCAATGGTTACAAGTTTATTGTTTGAAGTTAATTATAAATTTATTAACCGGAGTGGCTTCACCTTTAAGCCTTGGCTAAATTTATATATAGATCTATAACCTTGACTGTTTTGTCTGCAACGTGAAAGTGGAAAGCACATTGTAAGAAATATGTATACATATTTTGTTTTCAGAGGCCTGATTTTTAATTCAGTATTTAAGGAATAGTTTTATTGTCGAAGATTCCCTAATTAAAAAGCAACTTCTAAAACGCAAAACTCACCAGCAGCGAAGACCAAGACGGAACTGTTTAGGAGCAGGAACAAAACATTGATGAAAATAGAGTCGTTTTCCAAGGAATTTTTCCTGCCATCAGATTCACCATAGATGGAGCCAAGACAAACGTTGAAGAATATAATCCAAAGCACAAACGTTTGGAGACGATCTTCAAACTTTCCTTTGATGGGTCTAAAGAGGGTGTAGGCTATTCCCGATGCACTTGCTATGAGTAAGGTGAACCCAATCTGAGAGTGGCTTCCTGACTCAAAGAGTAGGATCAATGAGATAAGAAGAAGTTTACGGTACATTTCAAGTATTTCCCAAAACCAGTATTTCTTCTTGTAATTTTCAAAAAACACTCTCAAGCCAAAGGCAATTTCTTTCTCCGTTTCCGCCTGTCGATATTTGTAAATAAGAAGCAGCAGCATTAAAGGAAACGCAAGAGGATAAAAGGCAAACACTGCAGCAATTTTCCAGAAGATCTTGTGCCGAGGCGTAAAGCAGTGGATGGAATAATCAGCCTTTAAAAAGGAGATACAATCGCTTTTACTGAAACACACGTTAACGCATACACCAGGCAACGGCAGAATGTCAATGATCTTCTTGCTTGTCACTGGGTAAGACAATAGAAGAAATAAGAGTATGTTGCGGTAGCAAGACTTTTTCACCCTTGAAATTTGCATTATCTTTTCACTCATTAAAACCTCCATCTTGTTGATGTGGCGTTTCTTCAGGAATAGAAAGAGAAAAATAAGTAAAACAACCAATATGTTTAAGCCAACAGCGACAGCAAATTGTAAAAATGGATCTGGTCGAAATTTAGAGTGAATGCAGCTCAACGGCGCAAACTGTAATATGTTTCCCTCAGCAAACTTCAAATATTTTTCCATCGAAATTAGAATTACAGGCCAACGAACATGCACAAGCGCAGAAAAAATTCCTGCAATAACTTGATAAAATCCAATAACAATTTTGCAACAAGACATAACGACATCTGCAACTGTGCGATTGTTATCTGCGCGTTTCGAGTCACCCCAAAGAACCACTAGAAACACAGCAACAAATACCAGAACTACGACCACCCATGATATGATTGTGTTAACCATTCTTGGGCATTCCAGGCACGTGTTAAATCGGAAGTAGTGGTTGTTAGAGCACGAGGCACATAGGAATCCTTTGAATTTGTGTTGACAGGCTGAATCAACTCCGCCATTACAGGAACCAGAATATGGACATTTTTGGGGCTGGGGTAGCGTTCCTTGAAACCTGGAGAATGTTTTTTCATATGGAGGCTTCAGTGTGTAAATATTTTTCAAGAATTTTTTATAAATTCCTTTCTCCTCTTCACTTGGCCATTTCCAGTAATAACTTGGTGCTAGTATTGCTGTATCGTTGACACACTTTACACCGTGAGCAGGGCATTCAGAGCAGGGGCCAAAACGATCCATGCGGTAAAATCCGCGAAGGCATTTGCATGCGCGATAACCAGCGGTTTCATTTGAAAGTGTACCTATCCATATAGAAGTAAAAGATTTAGCTCTAAGAACTTTGAAAGGAGGAAAACAGATGTAGAAACTAGGATATTAAGAGCATGTTTAAGTAGAAGCTTGGCATAAAAATTGTTTCAACGGAGTCGATTATAAAGGACGAAAGCAAACGAACCTTAACTTCGCGGCGACTTGAAGGTAGGCGTAGCTGCCACTGTAGTCAAGGGTTTCATTCTACGACTAAAAAACTGAGAATATTGCTTTTTTCGCGCCGGTTACCAATGAATCCATTCAAAAGTTTTAAAACAAATCTATTGCAGCATCAAAAAGGCTTCAAGTTAACGTATGACACACTTAAACAAGACGAAAAACCGTAGCTACCAAGGAAACAGCGCGAGGATTTAATGAACTTTTCAGTTTTTTGATTAGCAGATAGCAATATTCTTGCTCCTCTGATTGGTGCGATCCACTCGACTACTATGAACTGTAAGTAAGCGTGTACGTTAGCCACTGGAAATGCAGGATTTGCCATATTATACCAGCAGATTTTCCGTTCTGCTGTTAAAGCGCCGTGCAAACGGACGCAACATGTTGGTCAACAACTCCCAGCATTGTTGAATGTTACATGTTGCGTCCGTTTGCATACCCTGTTACATGTTGTTGCGTGTTGTTGGAAGTTGTTGTTGCACAAAGTTTAAACAACGGTCAAGCTTTAAGCGACGTGCAAACGGACGCAACAACTCCCAACATTATTGGGCCAACAATGTTTGAAGTTGTTGCGTCCGTTTCTTCGTAGCTTTAGCTATAGTGCTTTGTTGTGGATATTTCTCAGTACAATCCTTTGTACTAGATCACTATCATTTAATGCTCGTACGCTCTTACCGTACGGACATGCATGACAGTCAGTCGGAGTTTTGCCAGGATGATGTTCCTCTGAAACGTAAGTGCCTGTGCTACAATTCTTGCAGGAGATCTGTCCCATGTCGCTTTGGTAAAAGCCTCCTAAAAAGTCAAAATGTTTGAAGTAATGCTTATTACACGAACAACAATATGCATTTGAAATATTCAGAAATGTTAGCTATTGTTGTCCATGAAAATACGAAATTTAGAGACAGTACCTCTAAATAATGGGAGGCTGTCACTTGTAAACACGAAACTTCTGACAGAAAATTAGCGAATTATAGCCCTTATTTCACTGCCTTACAAGGTATCAATAATCTTCAAACTCTACGGTCTTATAAAATAAGAATTATTCTCGCAAATATCGTTATCATATTTATATCATTTTCAAATCTATTGAACGGGTTCAAAATTATTTGCTCCTTTGTAAAAGCAGACAAAAATGTTTTTAAAAGACCGCCAACAAGAGCGCTTCGTTCAATACAAACTATTCAAATTATTTTTTCTATCTATCGGCTGAAGCTATCCTCATGATCTTTCCCAGACGTTTTTTAAAAGAATAAAACTACCATTTGTGGAAATTGCAATTTCAAAGCGATTCGTTTTCTATAAACAACGGCTGCGCATTACAATTGTCTCCTTTGTACCGTATTACTAACCATAAAAATTTCATCTCAAAATATCTCGAAAACGCTCTGAACGTTTTTGCTCAAACTTCACGAACATTGAAGCAGTTTATAAAGGAAAAGCTCCGGTTAACATTGTTGGAAGAAAAGTTCACAGTGCCGTGAAATACGGGTGCAGGTAAAATAGGTTATGGCGTCATTTCATTGCTATGACAACTCCGATGTCATTCTAATCCCGTAATCATAACAAATTTTCGTCTTTATTTAATACAGCTGTGGTGACAATCTGTCCAAATCTTTGTCAATGGCGACGTAGTTTATGCTCAAAATTGGGAGTTATTGACCCTGAAAAACCCCATCGAGCCACCTTAAGATCTCCTAATCTTATCCCCAGAATAAGTAAAAGGAATTACCTGCAGGGCAGGGAAGGCAGTTGCCGTCAGCATCACCATAAGTTCCAGCCACACAAAATGAACAATTCCAGCACTTGAAGCCCAATGCTTTTTCGGCATTGCATACAGTACATGTAAAGCCTGATCTGAACAGACTTTGTCTGTCTGAATGTGCACTTTCGTAGAGAACCACATAAAAGGACGATGATGGAGCACACACACTGAAGGAAAAGCCCAGTGTTATATGTCTTACACTTAGCTGGATTTTTGAAAACGTTACTGCCAAAATAGACCTCTTCAGTCAAGCAATTTTTTTCGTTCAACAGCTATTTCCAAAGTAGTCAGTATAAAAACAAAGAGTGAATCCATTGCTTTTTTCTCTTCTCCTCCTTTCTTTCTTCTCGCTATGTCTAAGTTTTCTTTCTTTTTCTTCCGCTATTGTAATATATATTGGCCCATCGCACGCAAATGACCTTCTTTTACTCAAGCAGCTGCAGATTTCGGTATACAG